ATTCACCTGGGCTGTCACTCAGGCACTCCCAGTATTTCAGAGGCCCGACGTTTTGAGTTATTTTTTAAGTCATTTAATGAATATTTATTTGATGGGGATCTGTTACTAAAGTTATCATTCACTTTGGAACTTTTCAGAAATTTGAATCACTCTGGTCACATTAAATACTAAGGATTCCAAAGACTATATTAAATCACAAAATACAATTGTCAAATTATCATATTCTATGATCATATACATTACTCAGATTAATAATAAAATCAGTAACAAAACTAGATTTAAAAAATCATTCATAGGTATTGTGTGAAATGTATATAAAAGCCAAGGTTTGCATAGTAAAATCTAAATTAAGCATTGACGCATTTGAAGTCGCATATAAATTGAAGTATACCTATTTTCTAATCACATTGCTAAGATTTATCCCCTATGTGCTTAGAATGATACATAAAATATAATGTTAGGGGGGGTACCCAAGGTGACAGCAAGCATATTATTTATTATCTCTAAACATACTCCTATAAACAAAACTACTTAATGACTAGCCAGTAAAAGCAAACTGTCCTTGTTAGTAAATAAAAACTTTCCCTATAAAATCTGTAAGAAAGTCTTAAGAGCATCAGTCAGACTTTAAGTAGTCTGCTCTCTGACCAATGAAACTGTAAACTCGTAATGCTCAAAGTGGAAGGGGAAACGGGAAGAATCTTCAGTCCTCAGGCTTTTCCCTCGCGGTTGCAAGTGGCTGTCACAGTCCCGCTGTCAGTTACGGATTCTGAGCAGCAGAGAGAGAGAAATGAAGGGCAGGGAGACCTGGCAGTGCCCCCAGGAGGGCAGACCTCTCAGTGCTGCGGTGGGAATCTTCTCTCAGACCTCTGTCAAAAAGGAGCCATTCGTCTCCCTCTGCCAGGGGAGCTGCCGGCAGGGGCTCAAGTGGGAAGAGAATGCTTTGAAAATGATGATGGCGGCATATGTGCAAATGTGCTTGACACACTGGATGAATGCATGGATTGTGATAAGACAATGTAAGAGCCCCCAATAAAAGTAGTTTTTAAAAAAGAAACTTGAAAAAAAAAAAAACCTAATATAGATTTAAGTTGTACGTAACTTAAATGTTATGTCTCTCCAAATTCAAAGACTTGTTTTGAATATTTCCATCTCATCTGAATTGCAAATATGGAGAGTTTCCTTTGCAACCAGGGCACTGTGTCAAGGAAGTGAATGGGAAGTTAAATGTCTTGGTTAAAACTCCATGCCTTGTGATTCCTTCCCGCCTGCAGTGGGAGAGACTCCAGATGACCACGAGCGAGAGGAGGAGAATCTTCTGCTCGGTCGCGTTCCATGTCATCGCCATCACCTGTGTGGTCTGGTCCTTGTACGTATTAATCGACCGGACGGCTGAGGAGATCAAGCAAGGCAATGATAATGGTAAGCACACACCTTTCTTGAATTACAGTGATGAGAGATGCAGAGGTGGCTCGGGATGCTCTACCCCCAGTCTAGATCTTTAATTATGATACAGTAAGGAAGCCCATTCCTCCTGCTGGCAGTTGAGTGTCCTCCAATTAGGTTATTAATATTCTGGCTTTAAAGCAAAGAATGCATAGCGTCGCATGTTAAGATCTGAGCTGTGTCAAGTCCATATGAAACTCAGTAGGGAGAATGACATAGCCAGCCATTGCCACACCAGGTTTTGCAGGAGGCGAATAAGGTGCAGGTCAGCCTGCTATGAAAACCACAGGCCGTCACAGCTGGAAACAGAAGGGTTTTTGGTTTTCCTTGCTTCTTTTAAAACATGAGATGAAGATGTTTCATAATATTTGTACATACTGTAGCTTTCATAGAGTGGATTAACAGTATGATTTGAGCCACACTAACTTTTATTTTCAAGCGCAGCGTCAAGTCTGCAAAGAAAGATATTTACAAATCATTCTAGCACATTCTAATATTTGAATGGCTAGGTCATTTCAACCATAGGCAAAAATGTAGGACACATAATCACTGTAACGTAGTATTTACAGTCACATCCCAAGGTAACCAGAGGTTCCCATCTTCCCCTAGATCTTCGATGTGTAGTGTAGAGGGCAAGTCATCGTGGGCCGCAGTGGCCCACAAACAACAAAAAAGGAAAAACACTGGCGAATTTGAACAGAATTCAGAGCACGGTGGTTTAACTTTGCAATATTATTTTTTTTTTAATGTTCATGCCTCCGTCAAAAAAAGGCAGCAAGTGAAGA